AACACAATAAGTGAATTCATCTTAACAGCTGTGGCAGCCTGATTTGGCTATCGATAAATATCTGTTAAACGTACCAGAGGCGTTTTTGTATGATCTGGAACTATCGCGTGGGTATACCAGCAGTAAATTTGGCGCTTAACAGTACAAAGAGAAAACAAATTCAAAAAAGTGGATTCCAGAGCGCCCTGATATGAAAGTATGATTTTTTGCTAAAAGGTAAAACGCAAAGTGAATGTGAAAGCCGGAGCCTGCCTCTATGTCACAAAACACACTTACAACAAAAACAAAAAATCAAAGCACTAATTGATCAAAAAAAACTAAAATTGCGATTAAAAATTAATGGGTTGTAATATAAAGATCAAAAGTACTTAACGACCTACGCAGACCTACGTAATATACCACAAAAATTTCATGAAAATCGGTCGAGCCGTTTGGGAGGAGTTTAGTCACAAACACCGAGATACCTATATCTATATATATCTACTAGGGGGCAAGCCCCCTGATCACTCGCTTCGCTCGTTCGCCAACTCCCAAGTAAACTAAAGTTATCATATTATATCCTTTTGTGTTTTATAATCATATCAGCTTCAATAATAAAAATATAAATCTATAATCTAAATACTATAAAATTTGTGGAAAAAAAATATGTGTGTAAGCGGCTATCTCCGCAACGCGTGCACCAAATTGCAAGCTGTTTTTTTTAAATGATAGCCAGATTATGTGGCAGAATGTGGCATTGTTTCTACAAAAAATTGTTTACTATTCTATAAATAGGTTCCTCAAAAAATTTCAAATTTGGTCTAAAAATGTGTGTTCGAAAGCCTATTTCATTTCATTTTGTGTCATTCTGTAGAAGAGAACATTTTATGTTAGATTTTGTTTTTATACCTTTTTCGTATGAATAATTTCTTTCTGAAAAAATTGCAATTTTTTGTCTGGACGTTGATATGCAATGACTGCACCATCAAGTGGCCCATGCGACACCAAGCCGAAGCCTGTTACGCGCGGAACCCAGGCAGAAATGCAGCCCTCCTCCCGCCCAACCGACCGAGGGGCGCTGCCGCATGACGCGCGACGCGTCTTACCGAACCGATCGCGACCATGCAGGAAAGATAGGTGTTAGACTAAAATTCGAGGAAAATTAGAGCTAAACACAACTCAAAGAGCTAAACATGCAAAGATAGCTAAGAAATATAACTAATTACGGGAAAGGTATGTTAGTATAAGTGATTTAAGAAGAGGAAGGGAATTAGTAGTTGATATTATGTGGTAGAGGGAATTGAAGTCCGAGCAAAGTACCCTAAATGGTTCGTGCAAGGAATAATTCGATCTACAAAGCGGAAGGAACAAAGGAATGAAGTTTCTAGTAGATCTTATAGGAATCGTAAAGTTTATGCGGCTCAACAAGTCAGGGCTATCTACGTCACCCTTGATCAGGTTGTGCATAAAAATCACACCAAGCATTTTTCTACGACTAAGGTTGGAAGGTTTATTAAAAGCCATCTACGAGGATAAGATGGCAGTCTCACACCTGCATCCCAGTTAAGGCCACGCAGAGCAAAAAGTTTTTTTGGACTGATTCCATACGGTCCTGGTGTACTTTGTACTGGGGGCACCATACACAAGAGCCGTACTCTAAAAACAAGCGAGATGTAGAGAGTCTTCGTTATATAGGGGTCGTCAAATTCTTTTGACCACCTCTTTATAAACCCAAGCACACCCATGGCCTTATTTACCATGGTAGAAATGTGTTCAGAAAACTTTAACTTTGGGTCTAATTTAACACCAAGATCATCAACCAAGGTAATTCTCTCAAGAGAACCACCGCAGAGGCTATAAGGAGCCAAAAGGGGGCTGGAGAGATGAAATGTCATTACTTTGCATTTCGAGTCATTTAGGTGTAACATATTTGCATAACACTATGATTGAAAGTTATTGAGATCGGATTGCAAGCGAGAGTGAAATGAAATGTCCTTATACTGGACACAAAGTTTAACATCATCCGCATACATGAGTACTCGAGAGTTTGTTAATACTGAAGGCAGATCATTAATAAAGAGTGTGAATAGTAGGGGGCCTAGATGGCTGCCCTGTGGTACTCCAGAAGTAACCTTAACAGGTGAAGAGAAGGAGTTTTTGAAGAGGACTCTTTGAGACCTAGAACGAAGGTAGCTAGAAATCCATCTCAAAAGATTAGGCGGAATCCCTAAAAGGTCAAGTTTTTGTGTTTTTTTTCTCACCGTCACTAGAATTATTTGCTTCAGGAAGAAGCCATGAATTTATTTCCTGACTAACATCCAAAAATAAAACAATTGATTTCTGATTAAGTTGCTTTGCGCAACGAATATTGTAAAAATATTTAATTATATGTTCAAGACCAGTTAATATCATTTTTATAACCGTACTCAAAAAAGAGTTATTAGGGTATATTAGATTTGTGGTAAAATTGGATGTGTGCAACAGAGAGAAGGAAACGTTTTCGACCCCATAAAGTATATATATTCTTGATCAGCATCAATAGCCGAGTCGATATAGTCAAATCCGTCTGTCCGTCTTGATGAGCGCCTAGATCTCAGAGACTATAAGAGCTAGAGAAACCAAATTTGGTTTCCAGACTCATGTGATTTCACACTGCTACAAGTGTATTTCGAAATTTCGCCCCGCCCCCTTCCGACCCACAAAAGACGAAAATCTGTGGCAGGAAAAATTTTAAAGATACGATAAAACTAAAAACGAAGTATCGGAGAGAAAGCCCATATCTACCAGATTGTCGAATCTGAATCATAATTATAGCCAGAATGAAGAAATTATTTTTCAGTTGCTCCCCCCGCCTCCTTCAGCAAGAGACCCGCTACTCATTCTCTTTCTGGATCGCACACTCTGCCTCGTTATGTACGCGAGCGCCCTCTAGCGGAGGAGATGTAGAATGTACATTGTAGATGTAAATAACATATGTAGCAAAAAAATGTTATATTAAAATTTTTTTTTAATTCTAAAATTCTATAAAATCATATGCTCAAAATGTATATACTGATGCAAACGCTTAAAACCAAGCTGCCGACCCTGATGGACAAGCTGCTGTTCAGTCGGCCGCTCAGCAATAACCAGGAGCTGCTTGCGCCCGTCATGAAGTTAACACTCCACATATGTATAATTATTGCAATATTTTTTTTTATTTCCTATCAATAGTCAAGCAGCTGCACGCCGGTAAATCCCACGAAACTTTTCTGAGTAAATTTTCTCGCCGTTTTATGGCTTTTGGTTAAGCTGCGTGAACCTTTATTGTGTGCGGATTTTATTAAAATAACTATTTATATTGATCATAATTGGTATGTTTTCAATAAAAAAAGAAGAAAGAACGTGCGAGTCGCTTTTGGGGACGCGACTCTACTTATACCCGTACTCAGTCAGTATATACATTTTTGAGCATATGATTTTTTAGAATTTTAGAATAAAAAAAAAATTTGAATTTTAAATTTTTTTGCTACATGTGCTATCTACTTCTACATCTACAATGTATATTCTATATCTAACATGTAGATTGTACATGTACCATTTAGATTATACATCTCCTCAGCTAGGGGTTGCTCGCGCACTGAACGCGACAGAGTGTGCGAGCGAGATGGAAAATGAGTTGTGTTGTCGTTGGCAGGAGGGGGCAGTGGAAGCAACTGAAAATTAATTTCTTCATTCTGGCTATCATTATGATCCGATCTGATTCAGATTCGGCAGTCTGGTAGATATGGGCATTCTCTACGATAGTAATTTAGTTTAGTTTTATCGTATCTTTAAAAATGTGCCTGCCACAGATTTTCGTCTTTTGTGGGGCCGGAAGGGAGCGTAGCGAAATTTTGAAATACACTTGTAGCAGTGTGATATCACATGAGCCTGGAAACCAAATTTGGTTGCCCTAGCTCTTATAGTCTCTGAAATCTAGGCGCTCATCGAGACAGACAGACAGACGGACAGACAGACATAGCTATATCGACTCGGCTATTGATGCTGATCAAGAATATATATACTTTATGGGGTCGGAAACGTTTCCTTCTCTGCGTTACACACATCCACTTTTACCACAAATCTAATATACCCCTTAACTCTTTTTGAGTACGGGTATAATTAATTAGATTCAACAATCGACCACTGTGAGTCGGTGAAGATGGAAAGCTCTTTCCGTCCAAAGGAAGTGTGTCGCTTCCATTCCTCCCTGTCCGGTATGTGTCCTTTAAAGGACTCTACGGAGGTTCTCTAGGTGGGATTTTGTGCTAACCGCTTACCACTATACCATGACTCCGTATGTCATGATGGGTCTTACCACAGTATATATCCCATGGATGATGTGCGGTTGTAAGTCCCATCTTCGTCTTCCTGCAGGTGTAGAAAGCTGCTTTTTCCTATAAAATAAACACAAACACTTACACACACATGATACAAATTAAGAACATCCTGTAAACACAAATTTACACAAAACCATTTATAGAAATCAAGAGCCTGGAAGCACTATCGCCCAAGGTAAAAATATGTTAAAACCATGTTGAATATTATTGAACTAGTCATTCAATAATCATTAATAAAAAATAAATATCTACTATATAAAAAACATAAAAAATAAACAAATTAAAAAATAAAAAAAAAAAAAATTATGTAGACAAAAATAAGGAGAAATTATAAAAAAACATCGTTTATTCTTGGATGGTCAGACTATTTATCAGACCGCCCCCTTATAGGGTTGTATTTTTTGTTGTGTTATAATATTACCATCTTTAAGGGAGTCCAAAGAGTTACGTTATATTGAACGTAGTTATATTATAGCTAATAAAATCGCCATTTATTAACTTCAGCTTGTTAAAATTTAAAAATTCAGAGCAATACTTTTTTTATCATCAGCTGTTTGTCAAAACGTTCCACACACTCTGTGCTCAGTGTGCCGATAGTGGTAATATTCCTAGTCGATATTTGGCTTAGGAAATATCGACATTTAATATTATTATTATATTTATATTAATATCCGTGAAATATTTACTTAGTATTGAATACTTAATTCAAACATATATCATCTGCACATTTTTAAAGCTGGTTTCAAACTATTTTATACTATTAACTAATAGCGGAGTCAAAGAATCCCTGAAAAATTCAAAGAGCAAAACAATGAGTTCCAATTACGCTGACGGCCTTTCGCCTTATGAAAACAAGGGAGTCCTAGGTATCCCAGAGGTAAATATTTATGTGGATATAAATCTTCTATTCATATTATACAATCATAACCCGTTTAAGAGTTTTGACTGCTATGATACCGTCAATAAAAAATGTGATGCGTTAGCTCTTTTAATCAAGGACTCCAGGCATGTTGTATTTCACACTGGCGCTGGAATAAGTACATCTGCCGGTATTCCTGACTTTAGGTATACGATAAACTTATATTTTGATATGTTTGTGTACGAAATATACACTAAATTTCTTTATTTGCATATCTTAACAAAGAGGCCCACAAGGCGTGTGGACATTGGAAAAAAAAGGAGAGGTCCCAAAATTGAACACTTCTTTTGACAAGGCAACGCCAACTAAGACACATATGGCCTTGCGAGCTTTAGTAGAAACCGGACACGTGCAGTACATTGTATCTCAAAATATAGATGGGTTGCACTTAAAGTCGGGACTCAATCGCAAATACTTATCAGAGTTGCACGGCAACATATTTATTGAGCAGTGCCATAGATGCAGACGTCAGTTTGTTCGTTCGACATCTGTTAAATCAGTTGGTCAAAAATCACTAGGAATCCGCTGTAGATCAACAGTCAGTGATGAAGGCCGAGCATGCAGATCTGGTTCTTTGCATGATAACGTGCTTGACTGGGAACACGATTTACCAGTGAAAGATCTCGATATGGCTACAATGCATTCTACGTACGTTTGTTTTTACATAACTGCAAAAATTATAATTTGGATAGAAAATGAAAAATTTATTATACGAGCCGCTTAGAACCAGCGAATTCTGTCGGGCTGTCCAATTTTTTTAATACAAAACCTGTCTCAGTTTGAAATAGAGTCCTGCATGAATCCACATTACTCGTAAAATCACAGTATACTCATGCCCCTTCAACGCGTTTGATCAGTAGGAATCCCGCCTTCAGTCAGATTCGAATCACCCCGAATCACTAAAAACCGAATCCGAGTACTGCGGATTAAGACAAGAAAGTCGCACACAGACAACTAATGACTCTTAGGCAGAGGGAAAAGGGCAAATTTGTGTATTGTTTCTGGTTCGCTCTACTGGAAAATCAAGTAGAGAGTGAGAGAAAAGAAGAATCGGCTGCCCGATTCAATCCAATAAAATGTGCGTGTGGGCATGTTTCCTTTGAGTGAATCTCAATTATGAACGAAATGAACGATATCAGCATAGCCAATAGACGGCTCTCACTCAGATGGCAGGTGTTGATACTGAAATTGAGACACCACTATTTATTTAACGGTCTGCTCATCGGCACGGATCTAGATTCAAACCTGTTCTTGCGGACCATACGTACATTCCATTCATGCATCAATATGAATTCCTTCGGAGCAAGAGAAACAGTTTAGAATACTGCGCAAAATAGTCAAAAATTCAATACAACATTTAAGCATATAAGCAAACGAAGCATATAAGTTTTTACAAAAATGTACTTCATGGGCGGTGCGGACATAAATCGTGCCAATAGACAGGCGCATATGTAGTTGGATACCTGGATGAACTACTGAATGAGCAAAATGAATTATTAAAATCACACATGTGCATTATTATCATCAATCCTGAGCTTTTTGAAAAGCTCAAAAATACAGCTATAAATTAGACCTAATTACTTTTTAATTTCAGTTGACCGTCTGGGAAATATTCGGCATCCTTATTTTTTTTGTGTATATGTGCGTTAAATAGGCGTCGTTCAAAGTATTGTTCATTAAAATCTATAGAGAAATTGCTTAGCTAAAATTGGTTGACCAAACCTCCGAAAATCAAAAATGTCATAACAATCATTGCTTGGTGGGCCATCAACGTTCCAAACAGTAAAATGTGATTTCAAGCAGATTTTGAACTTACTAAATTTGTCATCATGCCACACGTTCTACGACCGAAAGTAGGATCGCCGGTAATTTTACTTAGAACCCAAATTTTGACTGCAAGCCAAGTGTTCAGAGGGCTTGCCACATTAATAAAATTGTACTGTTTGTTTTTGTTGCAGAAGAAAAAGTACAACATCAATGCTATTCCGCACGATATTTTATTTTCTGAGCCCCTTCCTACTTGTCTAAAGCTTTTTTTTCTTATATATAATAGAATGGCTGACTTAAATATAACACTGGGAACAACTTTACAAATCGTACCAAGTGGGAACTTACCCTTAAAAAATATAAAAGGCGGTGGTAAACTAGTTGTATGTAATTTACAACCAACAAAACATGTAAGACATTACATATTCTTATATTATAACAACATTAAATATATTCATTTTGAATTGTAGGACACTAAGGCGCATTTAGTTATCTCAAGTTATGTTGATGAAATACTATCGAAAGTGTGTCATTTTTTAAATGTTGAAATACCAGAATATTCAGAGTCGTCTGATCCCACCACACTTTCAAGCCTAGTTGAATGGACTTTACCACTGAATCATATAAATATTACTCAAAGACAGTTTAGAGCACATTTGACAGACTGTGGGATGCAGTCAAAAGAAAAGAAAAAAACCAAAGTAACTGTAACTGTCCCGGCTTTATCTAAAATAAATGATTAAAATAAATAATAGTATTATTATTATAATAATTGTAAGGTTGTGTAAGAGATTAAATTTTCTACAGAAAATAATATATTATTTGTAAGTTTGTGTGAGAGATTACATATTCTAGAGAAAATATACAACTTTAAACTACTGACATAAAAAACAAAATAGATGACACGTTTTAACATAAATCTTCGTAATCAAAGTAGTTGCATGTGAAGTAGCTGGCACGCATATCTGCGCACTTTAAATGCACCGGACGACCACATTCATTGCATTTAATGAAGCTTGCGGCTTTTAATTTTCTTGGCAGAAGATGAATCAGAAGTCCTGATCATCGTCAGATAGAGCCTTGGTGCGCTTAGTGGATTGTTTGACTAGTGTTGCCTTCCGTCCACCCTTTTTCTGGGGAGAAACATATGCCTGCATATTTGGTAGCTTAGCATCTTTCTTAGCGAAAGACCTTACCTTTCTGGCGTTGAATCATTTTCTGCGTGAGAGCTTTGAATAATTTAAATAAACAAATCTAATAAAGGATTTTGAAAATGGGAACTTTAAGAAAATCGGTCTTTTAGTTGCGGGGATATGAACATTGTGTCGTAACCTCGCACAAAATACAGTCAAAACAATGAACCAAAATATAAAAAAAATTGCATTTTTATCTATTGTAAAATTAAATTATGGTACAAAATAAAAAAAATAAAAAATTTCTTATCGACAAAAAAAATGTATATTGTGATAATTTTTCATAGGAAAATATGCACTGGCATCAATGTTCAACTTTGACTACCCAGTGGACCAAAACTTCGTAAACGATATCGCAAACGTGAGTTACGCGAAACTCAAGCGGGTAAAACTATCGAATTTAGATCCAAAAACGATAATTAAATGAATCACTAGTCGCTCAATTTGTGGCAGTGAAAGTTTCGTTTTCAGTAGCTCGAAGAAGGTATCGTTTGCGGACCTTTTATAATATCTTTTGCCAGCCTTTTATGCTATCTTTTACGATACGTTTTTAATATCATTATCGAGCCGAAAGTAATATTAAAAGTAGCCCACTAGTAATATTAAAAGTAAATTAAAAATAATATTTTTGTCTCGTATTTTGTTCGCATATTTATTATTTAAGTAGGGACGGCGCAAACGCTATTCCCGGCTATCAAAATTTACACAGACGAGTTATTCACATTAGCAATAATCGCAAAAGTCAACTCAGCCGACGTGCAATGACCAAGTCTTACTCCGGAGGAACACGCTCGTGATCACGGTTAACCTCTACGCCTCTGATCGGCATCGGGGCTTCCATGTCCTCACAGCCAGAAGCAGTTGGGAATTATAAACCTATCCTACTGCTACCCAAGAACACTGAATAGTTTTAAGACTTGTCCAGTTTTCACTCATTTTTAATTCCGTTTGCGATAATTTTGCGCGACTTTAGTCGACGCTTGGTTTTAGTACAATAAATGCTCTTTTCTAAGTCCGTCTGCGAACATTTGGCGATACTTTACCGGTAGCTAGCTATTTTCTCCGTTATGTTTTACTTTCTTGTCAATTTTTCACTCAATTTTAAGCCCGTTTGCGTAATTTTGGCGAGACTTAAACGTCCCCTGGTTTTTGTCCGCTCAATGCTCTTTTTTGAGTCCGCGTGCGCACATTTAGCGAGACTTTACCGGTAGCTAGCTATATTTCCGTTTTTTTTTTACTTTCTTGTACAGTTTTCACTCAATTTTAAGCCCGTTTGCAATAGTTTTGCGATACTTAAACGTCCCATGCTTTTTGTCCGCTAAATGCTCATTTTTGAGTCCATTTGCGGACATTGAGCGAGGCTTCAGTAACAACTCACGGATTTTTATCATTTCTAAGTCTGTCTACGAACATTTTGCGATAGTTCCGCTTTACTATCGTCTTGTGGTCCACTGGGTGAGTACACACTCACATATGCAAGCGGATTCTATTTTTAGGTTCGTACGCTCTCAAATTTGTGTGAGCGAGATGGCGCGAATTTCGTCGCTTGCTGAAAAATTGGCTTGCATATGGCAATTGAAATGTATGAGCGTTATGCATCTTATACTTATATTGTCTTTGGCTTGCTGAAGTGAAAGTTACGTTTTCGGTAGCTCGCAGAAGGTATATTTTGCGGACCTTTTATGCTATCTTTTACTTTTACGATTTTAATATCATTTACGAGTCGAAAGTAATATTAAAAGTAGCCCACTTTTTATATTAAAAGTAAATTCAAAATAATATTTGTTGGCTCGTATTTTATTTTGTTCGCATATTTATTATTTAAGTAGAGACAACGCAAACGCTATTCCCGGCTAGCAATATTTACACGGACGAGTTATTCACATTAGGAATAATCGCAAAGGTCAACTCAGCCGACGTGCAATAACCAACCCAGTGGACCACAAGACGATAGTAAAGCGGAATTATCGCAAAATGTTCGTAAACGGACTTAGAAATGATAAAAATCCGTGAGTTGTTACTGAAGCCTCGCTCAATGTCCGCAAATGGACTCAAAAAAGAGCATTTAGCGGACAAAAAGCATGGGACGTTTAAGTATCGCAAAACTATTGCAAACGGGCTTAAAATTGAGTGAAAACTGTACAAGAAAGTAAAAAAAAACGGAAATATAGCTAGCTACCGGTAAAGTCTCGCTAAATGTGCGCACGCGGACTCAAAAAAGAGCATTGAGCGGACAAAAACCAGGGGACGTTTAAGTCTCGCCAAAATTACGCAAACGGGCTTAAAATTGAGTGAAAAATTGACAAGAAAGTAAAACATAACGGAGAAAATAGCTAGCTACCGGTAAAGTATCGCCAAATGTTCGCAGACGGACTTAGAAAAGAGCATTTATTGTACTAAAACCAAGCGTCGACTAAAGTCGCGCAAAATTATCGCAAACGGAATTAAAAATGAGTGAAAACTGGACAAGTCTTAAAACTATTCAGTGTTCTTGGGTAGCAGTAGGATAGGTTTATAATTCCCAACTGCTTCTGGCTGTGAGGACATGGAAGCCCCGATGCCGATCAGAGGCGTAGAGGTTAACCGTGATCACGAGCGTGTTCCTCCGGAGTAAGACTTGGTCATTGCACGTCGGCTGAGTTGACTTTTGCGATTATTCCTAATGTGAATAACTCGTCTGTGTAAATTTTGATAGCCGGGAATAGCGTTTGCGCCGTCCCTACTTAAATAATAAATATGCGAACAAAATACGAGACAAAAATATTATTTTTAATTTACTTTTAATATTACTAGTGGGCTACTTTTAATATTACTTTCGGCTCGATAATGATATTAAAAACGTATCGTAAAAGATAGCATAAAAGGTCCGCAAACGATACCTTCTTCGAGCTACCGAAAACGAAACTTTCACTGCCACAAATTGAGCGACTAGTGATTCATTTAATTATCGTTTTTGGATCTAAATTCGATAGTTTTACCCGCTTGAGTTTCGCGTAACTCACGTTTGCGATATCGTTTACGAAGTTTTCGTCCACTGGGCACAGAACCAGCAAGTGAGTATGCGTGCGTACTTCTGCGAAGCGGACAATTTTCGAGACGAAAACCTTTTTATGAGTCTCACTTCAAAAATCTTAAAATTTTAACTAAGTCGCCTAAGAGAAAGAAAGGTAACAACAGTCTGCCCACTGGTAACAATGGTGTTTTTCTTGAAGTTCCTGGATCTCCTCTACCCCCAATTCGTTCACCTTCTTTAATAGACTTTGGTGCTGTCGAACTTGGATCTAATGGGGCACCGACTGTGGCTTCTGCATCCGCCTCCCCAACAGCCGCCTCTCCCGTGCCTGTGTCTGACTGCATGTCAGGCGGGAAGTCAATGACGATCCTGTCGCTGGAGCTACGGTGCCTTCACTGGAACCCGCTGACGCTGCCGACAGCATGGATGTGGAGGCTCCGTCTACCTCGGCATCCATCGCCAACTCAGAATATGGCCCATTATCTGCTGATTCTGCCCTTCGGGTTGAATCTGTTCCACCGGTTCTATCAATACTTCTACCATCCCTCCTTCTATCCTAACAGATGTCGCCTTACTAAAATCTATTTTCGTTTCTCGACTGATGGCATCGGCTACGGATGTCCTGGTCAGGGAATTTATTTTTTCTAAACTTGATATTGATGATTCCTCAGGTTTTGTTGTTACTAAATATAACTTTAAAGTTAAACGCAACATATCTTCCTTCAAAATTCTCGTTCCTGACAAACATGTCAGTAGTGTGCTCGACCCTTCTTTCTGGCCTGAACATATTATCTGTCATGTGTTTACCAATCGCCCCTCTAGCCCTGAACGACGAGTGAGTGTTCAGTGAGTGAGTTTAACTTCTGTCCGTCCAACTCCATCTCCGGCAGCATTACCCTCGGCCTCAAAAAACTAATTTCTCCTCTTTCCGTTAAGATAACCTATCAGAATGTTCGTGGCTTGGGCAGTAAGCTTAACAAGCTATATACTGACAGTGCATCTTTCGAGACTGATGTAATCGCTTTTTCCGAAACCTGGCTCAACTCCTCTATTTATGACTTCGAGATTCTCATTGACAAATTTAACATATATATGTAGGTATGATCGTCCATTTCGTCGTGGCGGTGTCCTGATTGCTGTTCGTTCGGACATATCTTCTCAAATCTTTCACGTCGAAGGGCATAATAACATTGAAATTATTGTTGTTAAGCTTCTAATCTCTTTATATCCTGCTCTTACATTCCGCCGCCCTCCGAATTCTCCACTTATATGCTTCACGTTTCCCATCTTCAGTCTGTTTCGTCCCAACTTAATGACTCTGATCATCTTATAGTCCTTGGAGACTTTAACCTACCTAATATCTCATGGTCTCCTTCAGTTGACTCTAACCTGATGTTCCCATCTATTCAGCATGATTTTGTTGATTCATTGTCGGATACATCGTTGGGTCAGGTCAATACTATATCCAACAACTTGGGTAGGCTTCTTGATCTCGTCTTTTCTTCCGACATATCGAATACCATGGTCTGCAGAGGGTCTCCTCTATCTTTCCCAGAAGATCCTTATCATCCCACACTTAAAATTTCCGTGCAGTTGCCCTCCGCGGTTCCCATCAAAACTTCCGTTAGGCCACCGTCTATTTTTTGCTTCAGGAAAGCTGATTTTACGTGCGTGAATCTGGCCCTTTCTCAGATCGATTGGTCATTTCTCGACGACTTTTATGAAATTGAGCCGGCTACAAATGCATTTTATAGCATTTTTATACCCGTACTGAAAAAAGAGTTAAGGGGTATATTAGATTTGTGGTAAAAGTGGATGTGTATAACGCAGAGAAGGAAACGTTTCCGACCCCATAAAGGATATATATTCTTGATCAGCATCAATAGCCGAGTCTATATAGCCATGTCTGTCTGTCTGTCCGTCCGTCTGTCTGTCTGTCTGTCCGTCCCGATGAGCGCCTAGATCTCAGAGACTATAAGAGCTAGGGCAACCAAATTTGGTTTCCAGACTCATGTGATATCCCACTGCTACAAGTGTATTTCAAAATTTCGCCCCGCCCCCTTCCCTTCCGCCAACACAAAGGACGAAAATCTGTGGCAGGCACATTTTGAAAGATACGATAAAACTAAACTAAATTACTATCGTAGAGAATGCCCATATCTACCAGACTGCCGAATCTGAATCAGATCGGATCATAATGATAGCCAGAATGAAGAAATTAATTTTCAGTCGCTTTCCCTGCCCCCACCCCCCTGCCCACGACAACACAACTCATTTTCCATCTCGCTCGCACACTCTGTCGCGTTCAGTGCGCGAGCAACCCCTAGCGGAGGAGATGTAGAATCTAAATGGTACATGTATAATCTACATGTTAGATGTAGAATATACATAATATAACAGATGTAACAAAAATATGTAATAAATATGTTTTTTAAATTTTAAAATATCATATGCTCAAAAATGTATATGCTGACTGAGTACGGGTATAAGTAGAGTCACGTCCCCAGAAGCGACTCCCACGTTCCTTCTCGTTTTATTGTTTATTTATTGTTCAATATCTTTAATACCTATGTACCTGTAATTTCACCTTCGCGTCATGTTAGTGGCCCTATTTGGTTCACCCCGTATCTGATAAACCTTCGGAGTATTAAATCTCGCTTGTATAAAAGGTTCAAAAGAACTGGTTCGTAATCTGACTTCTCTAAGTATTCAATCGCTAAGAGAAAATTTATTTTATTTAATAAAACATGTTATAATGACTACCTGTCCAAATGTAGACTTAACTTTAAGCGTGATCCGAAGCAATTTTTTAGGTTTGTCAACTCGAAACGTAACTCTTCCCAATTTCCGTCATCTTTTTCCTTTAATGGCAGCAAGGCTGATAATGATTTTGATATTGCTAATCTTTTCGCTTCATTTTTTCAACTCTGCTACTCAGTTCCCTCTAATAACCATCATTCTATTCTGGCTTCTTCTGACATACTTTGTCCCAATCAATCGTATCCTTTCCACATGAACAGTTCTAACTGTATCTATCCTCTTAATTAATTTAGGGTTTTAGGGTTCCTAGGGCTGTTTTTAACCTTTGTGCTGATTCTCTCTGTGTCCCCCTCCTCCCCCTGCTCGGCGATTTTCCCACGGTCTGGAAAGAGTCATATATTATTCCCATTCATAAAAAGGGGTCTAAATCGGATGTTTCTAATTACTTCCCAGCTCCAACACTTTTGGTGCCCCTTATTCTCTGAATCGCAGCATGGATTCGTAAAACGTCGGTCTATTTCTTCTAACCTCCTGGAATTCTCCACCTTCGTGCATGCGGGTTTCGCTAAGCAGTCTCAAACTGATGTAGTCTATACTGACTTTAGTAAAGCCTTTGATTCAGTAAATCATAATCTGCTTATTCATAAATTATCTCTTCTAGGGTTTCCGCCTAAACTTCTTTTCTGGTTTAATGCATACCTTTGTAATCGATCTCAGCGTGTCTGATTTAATAACTCTAAGCCTGTTTCTGTATCGTCGGGGGTACCTCAAGGCCATCTTGGCCCTCTGTTGTTTAATTTGTTCATCAATGATTTTCCCCAAGTCTTAACTCATTCCCGTATACTTATACTATAGCTACCCCATGCCCACATTATGTTCCCGGTCTGATCTTGACGCCCTCAACAACTGGTGGATAATAGACATTCTTCCCCTTAACATTTCCAAATGTAACGTCATGACATTCCATCGGAGCAAGCCTTACCTTTTTGACTACAATATCCATAACTGTTCGTTAAACCGCCTTTATAAAATTACTGACTTGGGAATTATCTTTGTACCTAATCTGTGTTATAACTCACACATATCCGCTATTTAAAGTAAGGCCAGAGGTATCCTGGGATTTATCAAAAGATGGTCTAGGGAGTTCACCGACCCTTATACCACTAAACTTTCATATGTATCCCTTGTCCGGCCTATCCTTGAGTACGGATCCTGCGTTTGGTCTCCGCATTATCAAAAATATCAGGATATGATTGAGTCCGTTCAAAAACAGATTATCCTTTTTGCACTTCGTGGCCTTAATTGGTTGATTCCACTGCCCTCAGTAGCCTTATTAGCATTTCTGTCCCTTCCCGCCCGACTAGGCATTACTCTGTCTTTCTAATTACTCTGACCATGAATCTTTCCGTAGCCTTTGCCGTAACTACAATACCTTCTTCCATCTGTTTTCCTTCGACACTAGTTCTATTAAGGTAAAATCTTTGTTAACAAATAACTTAGTTAATTAATCTTAACTTAATAGGCTATAAGCTATTTCCTGACCACAACTTGCTGTGAGCTGGACCATAGCGGCTACTTAAGCCAATAAATTAGTCCTATTGAGTCAGGATAATATCCATAGTCTGATAATCCATGTTTATGTCATATTAGGTTAGGTTAGGTTGTCCCGGACGGACGCATAGGCCAATATGTCCCTTAGTTGTCCGGATAAGTGCGTATGGACCTTCTGAGTGTTTTACGCGGTTTCGAAGTCCGTGAGGATCGAGGAGAATTTCGCAAAGGCAAGGAGTTCCCCTGGCGTCCTCTTGGATGCATCTTCCAGCGATGCAGGTACCGGGCCGCCAAGGTATTTGTTTCTTGCCCTTGAGGGGGCCGGGCATTTGCAGATTAGATGTTCCAGAGTTTCGATAGCCCCAGATTCATCCCATTTCCTGCAGTTGCCACTGTTGGTGATGCCTAGTTTGACTGCATGTGCTGCAGCCAGGCAGTGACCTGTGAGTATACCCACTAGCATCCCACAGTCCTTCCGTGGAAGGTGCAGTAGGTAGTGGCTGAGTTTACCATTGCTCTCCTTGCACATGGTTTTCGCGATCCTGCAGGTGGTGTCATATTCACATTACGTTATAATTTGTTAGTTTAACTGCTCATAGTTGAACCTTTTTAAATAAATACAAACGTCGCACGCTGAATACCCTAATGACAATTACTTCAATGTGAAGTCATTTATTAAATATATATTGTATTTTTATATATGTATATCCGATCATTATTATCGAATATTCCATCTTCATCGAAATTATCATTGGAGGGATATATACAATGAGTTTTTTAATATTGGGGTGGTCAGAGTCTTGCAAAATTAACTTACACTTATAAAGTGCAGGGTATATTTCGACAGCGCTGTTAAAAACGTATGCATGTGCACACATACAGTCGTCGCGACGACTCGGCTCGGCTGTCGCAGCGGCAGAGAACCAACTTCGTTGACCTTCGAGTGCTGTATGCATACAAGAGAGCGGATGGCTCTAGAGCGCTCTCTCTCTCTCTCTTAAAAATTTCAAGAGAGCCTGGAGCCAACTCTAAAACCAGCCTGCAAAATTCGTGTGCCAAAATTTCGTATGGCGCTATGTATCTTATTCTTATATTGTCTTTGCACAAACTGAGCGACTAGTGATTCATTTTCAGATCTGAATTCGATAGTTTTACCCGTTTGAGTTTCACGTAACTCACGTTAGCGATATCCTTTACGAAGTTTTGGTCCACTGGGAGAAATCAACGAAATCATAACAAAAGTCGGGTTAACACCAATCAGAGAAGAAACAAAACCGGTTTTTGCTGGACGGATCGCATACACACAAAGTTGTTTGCATGTGTTGGACTTTCGGTATGCTGGCACACAGCACAAACTGTGCTGGGGGCAATTACAAAAACAAAAGATCTCGTTGGACCCATAGTGCAGTCCTACAAAAGACCTGCGGTGGACGAGCTACCCACCTACAGAAAATAATACAGCAATTTTTGACTAACTTGATCAGAGTTTTCCGGAGTAGCAGCAATCCTTCATTCCTCTTTCTCAAATGTTGTGGGCGCTTTTGACAGTATAGTGGAAAGGGTGCTTCGCAACAGAATATTTGCTGAGATTTCGGTGATGCACCATGGTCAGATCCCTAAAAAGAAGGGATTGTCCACAGGTGAGTACTGCCCTCTCTGCTTACGAGCCTGGTTGAAGCTTAGAATTTCCTGAGTTAAAATTGTATTTTGGCTGAGTTGTTTGGTATCCCTGCAGTAAAATACATTAAATTTAGACATGTAATATTAAGTATCTGTAAAATACTTTATTTAATTTTTATTGACCAAATACATTCGAAAATATTATTTTTAAAATCCACCTCTACCCGTAGGAGGTGCGCCTCGCATTATACTAGGTGGGGGGCCTCTCATTGGTGGTGGAGCCCCACGTCCAAGATTCCCTGGTAATGAAGGAATACCACCAGGAATTAATCCTGGGGGGGGTGCTCCCATCATGGTAGGTCGAGGCACGCCCCTGCCCATCGGAGCCATATGTTGTTGAGCGGGTCCGCCTATGCCCCTCACTGGACCTTGTAATCCTGCTGGTACTGCCGACATGTTCAAGGGTACACCTCTGCCAGCTATACGACCAATACCTGGCCCTGATGCAGCTCCTGGTATTGGTACTCGGGGAAGTCCTTCCTCCGGAGGGGGAGGTCCTTCTACTGTCAGAGAAACTATGTTCTCACCACGCAACAAAACAAAGCCCAGGACACGTTTTTCCTCTCTTTCGGGCACTTTCGAGTTTTTAGATCTTATCTTGCGAAACTCTTCGCAGTCGCCCAATATTAAATTCATGTGCTTATCAAATGCTTTGAAAGTTCCGATGAATGTACGAGAGTCTTGCAGAACGATTCGCACCCGATAATTCAGATGCTGAATCATTTTGTTATTTTTTCCAATGGTCTGAAATAAAATTAATATTATGTTACACAATTATCTATATATTTTAATAGTCCTACAGGAAATATTTTATTTTAAGTAGAAAACCTTAAATGAAACATGGCGCCACGGAAGTAAGGGCCCTAATTGCTCTCTTAGATGAGATAGACCAAATTTTGGATCTCACGGATATAATATATAATACATCGGTGTCTCACTTGATTCCTCTTGTCTTCTATTTTACTCGTTAAACCTCCCCAGAAATAATATCGGGCTTCAAAATTTAGCTCAGTTTCGGAATTATAGATAGAATATTATAGAATTTAAATTTATTAATTATATTATGCTTACATTTGCAATCATTATCAGCATTTCAGTAAAATATTTTATTTTCATTTTAAGGCTTTACATTTATTTCTGCACTTCATGACCAATATTCAAGCAGTTTCATTCGCTAGAAAGCGAGAACGTGGCAGGCGAGTCTGCCACAGGAAAATTTGGTTTTCCTTCCTTTTGGCTGTACTATAATTTCGATATGATCCAGATTATCCGGTAGATAATATAATTCTTTATAATTCATCGCTGTCGGTTTTCTCGTATTTTCAAAATTGTGGAAGCCACAGATTTTCGAGATTTGTATACTTTTTATACCCGTACTCAAAAAAGAGTTAAGGGGTATATTAGATTTGTGGTAATAGTGGATGTGTGCAACGCAGAGAAGGAAAAGTTTCCGACCCCATAAAGTATATATATTCTTGATCAGCATCAATAGCCGAGTCGATATAGCCGTGTCCGTCTGTTCGTCTGTGCGTCCGTCCGTCTGTCCGTCTCGATGAGCGCCTGGATCTCAGAGACTATAAGAGCTAGGGCAACCAAATTTGGTTTCCAGACTCATGTGATATCACACTGCTACAAGTGTATTAAAAAATTTCGCCCCGCCCCATTCCGCCCCCACAAAGGACGAAAATCTGTGGCAGACAAAATTTTAAAGATACGATAAAACAAAAAAAGGCAGTATCGTAGAGAATGACCATATCTACTAGATTGCTGAATCTAAATCAGATCGGATCATAATTATAGCCAGAATGAAGAAATTAATTTTCAGCTTTCAGCGCTGCTGACGCTACTGATTCTTTTTCTCGCTCGCACACTCTGCTGCGTTCAGTTCGCGAGAAACTCCTAGCGGAGGAGATGTAGAATCTAAATGGAACATGTACAATCTACATGTTAGATGTAGAATAGACATTGTAAATGTAGATAGCAGATGTAGCAAAAAAATGTAAAATGTAAATTTTTTTGATTTTTTTTTTAAAGTTCTAAAAAATCATAAGCTCAAAAATGTATATACTGACTGAGTACGGGTATAAGTAGAGTCATGTCCCCAGAAACGACTCACACGTTCCTTCTCGTTTAAAGTGTGATGTTACTGGAGTCTGAACATAAACAGACATCGACTGGGCTACTGATGTTGATCAAGAATATGTACACGATGTGGTATCAAAAATACGGGTATATTGCATGTATTGCATGTTATATGTACAGTTGTGTTCAATGAAATAGTACTACTTTCAAAACTCTTTTTGAGATATTTCTAGTCTTCCAAATTGAACAATTGATACCTTTACGGAAAGCATGGAATGTAAGCATTAGAAACTCCAAGAAAACCTGTTACCCATAATATCTGATGTTCAATAAAATATTTGTGCTGGGTTAAATAAATTTAAAACGATAAGGAACGTGCGAGTCGCTTCTGGGGACGGGACTCTACTTATACCCGTACTCAGTGCGTATATACATTTTTGAGCTTATAATTGATTAGAATTTTAAAATTAAAAAAACAAAATTTTACATTTTACATTTTTTTGCTACATCTGTTATCTACATCTACATATACTATGTTTATTCTACATCTAAGATGTAGATTATACATGTACCATTTAGATTCTACATCTCCTCCGCTAGGGGTTGCTCGCACACTGAATGAGGCAGAGTGTGCGAGCGAGAAAGGGATAGTGTAACGCAGCGATGCCCAAAGTCAGCTTACGGCAGGGCACTCAAAAATACTCCCAAACAAAAACGCAAATACGAATAAGGGAACAGTGAAATCTCGAAGAAAAGACAACAACAAAATCATACCAAAAGTCGGGTAACACCAATCAGAGAAGAGACAAAACTGGTTTTTGCTGGAAGGATCGCATACACACAAAGTTGTTTGCATGTGTTGGGCTTTCGATATGCTGGTACACAGCACAAACTGTGTATGCATACAAGAATTGGTTTCCTATGCTGAGGGCAATTACAACGAGAAGGAACGTGTGAGTCGCTTTTGGGGACGCGACTCTATTTATACCCGTACTCAGTCAGTATATACATTTTTGAGCTTATCATTTTTTTGAATTTTAGAATAAAAAAAAATTTTACATTTTACATTTTTTTTGCTACATATGTTATCTACATCTACATATACTATGTATATTATACATCTAACATGTAGATTATACATGTACCATTTAGATTCTACATCTCCTCCGCTAGGGGTTGCTCGCGCACTGAACGCGGCAGAGTGTGCGGTGGAGTGGGGCGGGGCGAAATTTTGAAATACACTTGTAGCAGTGGGATATCACATGAGTCTGGAAACCAAATTTGGTGCCCTAGCTCTTATAGTCTCTGAGATCTAGGCGCTAATCGGGACGGACAGACAGACATGGCTATATCGACTCGGCTATTGATGCTGATCAAGAATATATATACTTTATGGGGTCGGAAACGTTTCCTTCTCTGCGTTATACACATCCACTTTTACCACAAATCTAATATACCCCTTAACTCTTTTTTGAGTACGGGTATAAAAACAAAAGGGATCGGAGGGCAATGGGCCTGGGCATCGCTGGTGTAACGGATCTCTGGCTGAAGTAGGCGGGGCAAAATTTTAAAATAAACTTGTAGCAGTGTAATATCACATGAGTCTGCAATCCCAATTTGGTTGCCCTAGCTCTTATAGTCTCTGAGATCTAGGCGCTCAACAAGACGGACAGACAGACATGGCTATATCGACTCGGCTATTGATGCTGATCAAGAATATATATACTTTATGGGGTCGGAAACGTTTCCTTCTCTGCGTTACACACATCCACTTTTACCACAAACTCTTTTTTGAGTACGAGTATAAAAATGTATATACTGACTAAGTACGGGTATAAGTATAGTCGCGTTCCCAGAAGCGACTCACACGTTCCTTCTCGTTTTTAAATACAATTGAAACTAAAAATCTAGAAAAAAACATTAATATTACTATCTACCCTAAGATAAAAAATGAAGGACTGTCCCGTTTAAATAAAAAAAAACACAATTTTTTTGGCCTAACCCAATGTACATAGATGTGCAAACTAAATGTCAAACCATTTTCAGCTTTATTAAATCTATTTTTAGCTGCTTACTTAATGATTTTTTTTTTTAAGTTTTTTTTACACGCTTAACACTTAAGTTTAAACACTTATAACTTGGCGTACGGTTAAGTTAATAGTTAATTTTATATCAAAGATCAACATCTTCTCCTATATGTTAAAAAAAAATTGTTATTTTCTACTATGGTATCCTTATAAAAGCTAACTAAATAAAAATCCCTTTTTTACGCACATAATTTATTCGTGGAGTCGTTGAGTTCTTCAAGTAACTATTATCTGAATAAAGCTAAAAATTTAAATTATATTGTCCAGTATTTATGATGTCTAAAAGTCCACTGCAAAAGCTTTCCCCCAAGGTATACATAGGTGCCCTATTCATTACATTTATTACAATGGGATGTCCCATTGTGTTACTGGGATTCATTTCTAGAGTATGTGAATCAATATGAGACATATTTTGGATTGATGGACCTTGTGAAAAGTTAATAAAGCCATTAATAAGATTGCTTGTTTATTATTAGAATTAAAATTCATAGGGCACCAATAACTTGGGGGAAAGGTTGTGCAGTGAACTTTTAGACATCATAAATACTGAACAAAATAATTAAATTTTTTATCTGTAATTTTCAAATCACAGATACTTGAAGAAATTAACGAATTCACCAACAAATTATGTGCGTAAAAAAGTGAGTTAATTTTTATAAGGATACCATAGTAGAAAATTCAAATATTTTTTGATGAAAAGATAGTAGAAATGTTGATCTTTGATATTAAATTAACTTTTTCTGTTTAACTTAACCGTACGCCAAGTTGCAAGTGCTTAAACTAGAATGTTAAGGGTGTACGAATAAGATGTGTGCTCTCAGTAAATGTTTGTTACAGTAAATGCCGCTCCACCCGGCAACATCATTGTATGTAACAAGTAACCAACTAAATCTGTATAAACATGTATATTGTCCATTCAATAACTATTCCACTATTCTTACTACACTGATATCCATTAGCAGTCACCTTCTTACCATTTTGAGCAATTTATTTTAGAATATTAAAAGTTGTATTTTTAAGAGCAAGCAAACACGGTTCTAGAATGAAAATATGGAATTCATTCTAGTCGATTAATCCAAGCGATTGTAGTCGGACACGAGCTCAGTGTAAAAATTAGTCGATTATTGATCCACCTATCTGAACTTATGGTCGTATTCCACTACCTGGAAGCAGCAGGAATACGCAATTGCACACGTTTATATCGATATATTCTTTTGTGCCATACCGCAGAACGAACGTACACATTGGCCCAAACTTGAGATCATGCGTATTCCATTATTCAAATTAATATATTTTATTTAAGAATGTGGTCTTAATTTTTTAATCTCTTCGAGAATTGTCCCAGTAAATCTCTTGTCTAATGATATCTATGGTTCAAGGTATTTTTTTTAAGAAACAAATGTATATTTTATCATTTACCTCAGCTTTATTTTTATAGGCTATTCAGACTGAGGCTGCATCATCCTTCTTTGCATCTTGCCGGAGACATGGTTGTGCATAGGGCTACAGTGGTGTCAAAAGGTTGCGTCGCTTTCGGATGCATGTGCGTACATTAGAAATATTCGATTGCTTTTGCGCTTAACAGCACATTTTTGCACTTTTCTGCCTATCAGCGCAACTATCACCGATAATAACAACAAAATCATGTAAATCAAATATCAAAGCTTGGCCCTAAAAAGTTATGATTGTGCGAAAAAAAACTTCTTTGGTTTTTATGGTTCCCAAAAACTCTACAAAGAAATTTCTCAAAATAATAAATAAATATGAGAATCAATTCTCTCTCGGCCATTTTCTTGTGGCCTGCATATTTCTGTTGATTTCCAAAAATTTGGTTACTTTCCTCGTCGTAGCACACACATCAGCTATTCTCAAGACGCGACAACCTGCGTCTGCCAATGCTAACGCATTTTCGGCTTCATTGAGTCTATTTCAATATCTATAGGAAACGCACCTAGTGTGAAAAGGCTTTTATTCTGATTATACTCTTTCTCGCTCGCACATACTCTGCCCTGAATATACTGTATGGTTAGTGGCCCTGTGCAATGCGCGACCTTTGCGGAAAACACGTAGAATCTACATTGTGTATGTAGAATATACATTTTTTGTGTTTAATCGACATTGCAAATGTAGATAAAAATGTAGCAAAATATGTAAAATGTAAAATTTTTTAAAATTCTACATAAATAAGCTCACAAATTAATTTTCTGACTGAATAAGGGTATCAAATTAAAGTCGCTTGCACAAAAGCGACTCACATGTTTCTTCTTTTTTAATACTGAGCATTATGAATTTTGTAGCCATTAGAAAAACAAAAAGCAACAGGTTGAAGTGTTCTGCTGAAATGGAGAATATTTTGATTAATATTAGGCAGGAGAGTATTGAGGATTTGCAGAGACCTCGGCATAAATCTCATGTTTATACGGAGATAGCCCAGTCAGTGATATCGGCTAGAATTGAACATATCATTCATATATCTCCGCTTGGTCGAATTCATTTATTTTTGACTTATTAATTCATTTGTAACAACATTATTAACTTGTCTAAACAAATATATTGCTGTTGAACGACAGCCAAGATATAGACAAGGAATAGACGGAGCCTGTCTAAATGACTGACAAAAGACAACGGAAAAATACAATAGAAGATTTTTTTCTATAAATTCTGCAGAAGCGCTGCTCCTAGCTCGACTTGACACAGCTTGACGCATATAGTTCTCTCGCTCTGACTGCAGGCATTTTCCAAAAGGCCATCTTTATTTTTCCAGCTAGTCAGTTAGCAAAGTCTAATGTCATAAAAATTTATAACTTGGATATTGATGCATATGGATGGATGTATATACGTACGAGGACATCAGTCAAAAAAAAAAAACATGCCCAGCCGTTCTCACGTGATGATGCACTATAAATTTTTATATCTCCATTTAAATGTATATATATTAATGAATAATATCTCGAGTTTAAAACAATTCTTCGACTATGACAATGGCCTCTTCGCCTACCTAGGAGGCATTAGTCAATCAAATAACTTAATTGATGAATAATGAACTCATCTTCAAGTATGACTATTGGCTCATCGCCTACTTCCATAAAAGAAAAATAATACAAAATCACTTATTTAGCGACCGAAGGTTGGTTTTTCATAATTTTCTTTCGGAAAAACAATCTCTTGGCAAATACGAACAGCTGAACCAATATTGAGCCAAATCGGCCAATCCGTTCTAAAAATAAATTTTTTTTCCGACCGATGGTTTTTCTTTCGTAAAAACATTCTTCTGGCAAATACGAACAAATGGATACAAATTTAAACCAAATCTGCCCAGCCGTTCTCACGTGATGATGCACTGTACATTTTTATCTCTCCATTTGTATATATATAGATTACATATATATATTTATATATTTATAGTATTACGAATTCCTCGATTTATTTATCGACTACTTCTAAAATGCATTCAAAGTTCCAACCCTACAAACATTGTAAACAAATAATGAAGTTCAATCCAACGACTCAGTGCTCATACGGCCACGTCATTTGGTCTCTCTCCGTTATTCTCTTTTATGCTAACATTCTACTTAGAAGTTTGGGGAGGAAACGCCGATGCCCTGAAGTTTTAACTCGTTGGCAATTTACGTGCAAAATAAAAACTTGGGTAACGTATGCAGTAATGAAAAATAAACAGTATAAATTTGAATGCCGTAAATAAAGTCTATATTCTCTACATTTATTTAAGGGTGCTCTCTGATACAACACCCAGGAACAAAAAACACCAGAAATTTATAAACTGACGCATCATTTAGGATGAATATTTTTCGGTTTGCTGGAGATCTATCTCATGTTTTTGCCATAATAATACTTCTGCTAAAAATATGGAAAACTCGATCGTGTGCTGGGATATCTGGAAAATCGCAAATATTGTTCGCTGTAGTTTACTTAACTCGGTACCTCGATCTCTTCACCACATATGTGAGCCTCTATAACTCGGTTATGAAGGTGCTGTTTTTGGCAACTTCTGGTGCAACGGTCTATTTGATGTACGTTAAGTTTAAGGCAACTTATGATCACAACCATGATTCGTTCCGCATCGAGTTCCTCCTTATACCATGCGCCTTGCTTTCCTTCGTCATTAATCACGAATTCACTGTAATGGAAGTGCTTTGGACGTTTTCAATTTATTTGGAATCTGTTGCCATTTTACCACAACTTTTTTTGGTAAGCAAAACTGGAGAGGCAGAATCTATAACGAGCCATTACCTTTTTGCTCTTGGATCATACCGCGCGCTGTATTTGCTTAATTGGGTTTATCGATACATGGTAGAATCGCACTATGACCTTATTGCGATCTTTGCTGGAGTCGTTCAAACTATTCTATACTGCGATTTCTTCTACTTATACATTACCAAAGTTCTTAAAGGCAAGAAACTCCAGCTGCCGGCATAATTAAAACAATTGTTAATTTTAATATCGACACATCAAAGGCATTAATAAGAAGCTGTATGGATTTCCATCAAAGACGGATACAAAAACGAATAAAGAATGGACCGTTTCACAGAGTTTTTGGTTTATGATGATTTACAGAAGACGCTTCGGGAGAATATTTTTTGTTTAAACTATTTTATGAAAAAGAAAATCAAAACCTCGTGAATAATACATGTAAAAATCTAACAATTGATATTCTTTGTTTTCTAAATGATATCTTCGAAAAATTGGTTGCCCTAAATTATTCAGCTATTCTGATCGAGTCAAATTACCCGATGGGTGTTGTTCAGCCACGTTTACCCACGCCTCGGCCCTTGTCAGGCTAAGGAAAAACTTTTATATATTTATATATCTTAAAAAAAAAAAAGGTTAGGCATGCTGGGCTGAGCCTTAATGGGCCCATTCATATGAACCAATACCTCGAAGTCTGGCGCTGGTGTAGCTTACAAAAATATGTATGTCAGCGTACTTGAGAATACATTTCATTCCTATTCCAGTTCAAAAATGCCTCTAAAAAGAATCTTTCAATAGGATATTGATCCGAAACACTTACGAAAGTTAGCTAGAAATTGGGTTACACCGGATAAGACCGACGTTATGCCATGTCCAGCTCAGTCATTGGATCTTAATCTCATCAAAATAGTATGGGGGAATGTCAAATGCGTTGTATTACAGAAATATGGATATGCATCGTAGAATTTATTTACTTGATCTCTTCTCTACTAAAGTACATATTCAACAGAATCAAGGGATCGCGGCTCACTAATATAAAATAACCTGTTATATATTTTTAACCGACTGACATTATTTGCATCTGTAGACAACTTTTAGTGTCAGCCTTTTCCAGACATAACATATTCGTCTAGACATATAATTTATATCCTGAATATAAGAAACAATTAATGGTATGTTGACTTTGCCCTCGTCCATATAGAATCTATATTATAGATACATACATATTTACATATTTATGTTATGTTATTATCACGTAAACGTGTATAGCAGTGGTACATATGACTGTTCCACAACGTATAAACACAAGGAACATTCGAATTATAAAATTTGGAACATTGCTCCGTGCTAAAGATCGTGGATGCACTCATAGCATATGTATTAGAAATCATTCGAAGCATGCGAGGAACATAATCAAGCAGGCTCCGGTTTTCACTTTCACAAAAAAAGTGATTTATTTTTCAAAACAAAAAGGAGAGCTCCCGCACTCCTAAAAAGCACGACTTGTTTGTTTTCAAAACGGTAACAAATTTCTCTCCGAAATGAAAAGGAAAAAGCCTTTTATTTTTTGCAAAATAATTCAAACAGGAAAAAAAAGGGACCTTATTATGCATTGACATGAATTTGACACTATTACCAATGCAATTGAGCTTGAACCCTTTTTATAAATAATTTTTATTTAAACCAACCTCAAAATTGGATCTGAAAAAATTGGTCAGGGCGAACACAATAAGTGAATTCATCTTAACAGCTGTGGCAGCCTGATTTCGCTATCGATAAATATCTGTTAAACATACCAGAGGCGTTTTTGTATGATCTGGCACTAACGCGTGGGTATACCAGCAGTAAATTTGGCGCTTAGCAGTACAAAGA